CACCAAGCTGGTCCGTGGTGCCTACATGGAGCAGGAGCGGGAGCGGGCAGCCCAGATCGGCTACGAGGATCCCATCAACCCCACCTATGAGAAGACCAATGAGATGTACCACAGGTAGGGGCAGCCCCAGCCATGGTCCTCCCTCATCCCACCAGGTACAGGCTCCAGCAGCCTCACCACGAGCCCCTGTACTGCCTTGCAGGTGCCTGGACTATATCCTGGAGGAGATCAAGCACAGCCGGAAAGCCAATGTGATGGTGGCCTCTCACAATGAGGACACAGTGAAGTTCACCCTGCGCAGGTGACTGCTGGCCAGGCATGGCAGGCACTGGGGATCCAGCAGAGCTGCAGTGAGACGTGGCTTGTCGGGTCTCCTGTGCTCACCCAGTGGGACGCTGCCCCATGTGCTCTGCTGTCTCTGCTGTTCCTCATACCAAGGCTTGGCTTGCAGGATGATGGAGCTTGGCATCCACCCCTCGGAGAAGAAGGTGTACTTTGGGCAGCTGCTGGGCATGTGCGACCAGATCACCTTCCCCCTGGGTGAGTGCTGGGAGCAGCAGGGACGTGGCAGTCGTGTTCCTGCCCCATGGAGTCACCCCTGGGGTCTGCAGGATGGACAGAGCCAGGATGTGCCTGTGAGAGCACCACTGGTTGAGAACAGCGCCCTGTGGCCTCTATCATAGAACCATAGAATGGTTTGGGTTGGAAGGGAGCTTTAAAGCTCATCCAGCTCCAACCCCTGCCACGGGCAGGGACACCTTCCACTAGAGCAGCTTGCTCCAAGCCCCTGTGTCCAACCTGGCCTTGAACACTGCCAGGGATGGGGCAGCCACAGCTTCTCTGGGCACCCTGTGCCAGCGCCTCGCCACCCTCAAAGAGTGGGTTCTGAGCTCAAGCGCACACTGAAGCAGGGTCACTGAGGAGCTTCTCCTCACCCAACACCCCCAAGTCCTTCTCAGGGCTGCTCCATCCAGTCTCCCCCTGCCTGCATCTGTGCTGGGGCTTGCCCTGACCCAGGTCAGGGCCTTGCACTTGGCCTCATTGAACTCCGTGAGGTTTGCATGTCCCATCTCTCTAGCTTGCCCCTTCCCTTTCCCAGCTGTGTGGAATGCTGTGACTCCTGCATGGGGTTTGGGCAGGATGTAGGTGGAAAATCACATCTGTCTTTTGGAGATCCCACAAGACCATGATGGCTGCGCAGGGAGATTCCCACTTTGGTCTCTGAGCAGAGACAGTTGTCTGAGGTGGGGCAGAGGCTGGTCCTGGCAGGCACAAACCTCCCTTGTACCCTCTGGCTCTGATGGAGCTGCACACCAAGCACTGGGCAACAGCCTCTTGTGTGACCTTGTCCTCCCCTCTGCCACTGGCCCCAGCAGTACTGCTGGGGCCCAGACCCAGGGACACGCAAGGGTCCAGGTCAGGGAATGAAGCCCCTGCCCGCACTGGTGGCCAGAGCAGAGCCCTGCACCCAAGGGAGCTGTGGGAGGCAGAGGGGCCATTGTCCAGCCCGGCGGCAGCTCTGCCCCAGAGCTCCCATCGCCAGCGGGGTTTGGCTGCAGCCTCCTCTGCTCATGCTGCAAAAATGTGTTAACTTGATGTTTCTGGTTGAACGCTTCTTGCCTTGGCCCAGCCCCGGCTCCCGACATTCCCAGGGCTCCTGGTGACCTCGGCGCCTTCCCAAGCTCCCTGTGCTGAGCAGGCTCGGCCTCATCCGCCTGCTCCCAGGCTCCCCTCCCCAGTGCTGGACCACAGCCTCCACCGGCTGCATCCCTCCCACCCGCTGCATCCCTCCCACCCGCTGCATCCCTCCCACCCGCTGCATCCCTCCCACCCGCTGCATCCCTCCCACCCGCTGCATCCCTCCCACCCGCTGCATCCCTCCCACCCGCTGCATCCCTCCCACCCGCTGCATCCCTCCCACCCGCTGCATCCCTCCCACCCGCTGCATCCCTCCCACCCGCTGCATCCCTCCCACCCGCTGCATCCCTCCCACCCGCATCCTTCACTCCTTGGCACAGCCCGAGGGGCACCGGAGGGCTGGGAGGTGAGGGGGAGGCTTTTGGCTTCCTTCTACCCCTCTTTCGTCTTTTTTTTTTTTTTTTTTCCTTCCTTCCCCCTTTTTTGGCTTTCTTGGTCCTTTCCAACCCCTCTCTCTCCTCCAGGTCAGGCTGGCTTCCCTGTCTACAAGTATGTGCCCTACGGGCCGGTGCAGGAGGTGCTGCCCTACCTGTCCCGCCGGGCCCAGGAAAACAGGGGCTTCATGGAGCGGGCGAACCGGGAGCGGGACCTCCTCTGGAGGGAGGTCAAGCGGCGGCTCCTGGCCGGTACCTTCTTTAGCTCCAGCCACTAACCCCAACTGTGCCTCCAGCCCAGCACCTCTTGTGCCTTCACCTATGACCACTACTGCCATTCCCCAGCCTAGTCCTGCTGCGGTTGCCCTCCCAGCACCCTTTTCCCGAGGAAGAGACATGTCCTTGTTGCTCTTCGAACGGCACACACCTCCCAGAGGTCACTGCTGTAGGACTGCCCCAAGAGCCGTCCCCCCATCCCAGGGCCTTGAGCTGGGCTATGGCAGGGGCTGTGCTGCGTGAGCGCTGCCCTGGGGCGTTCCCATTGCAGCAGCAGGTTTGGCTGCCTGCTGTCTGCCATGGGCTCGGGGACAAGCTGGTCTCAGCCACGCGTTCCTCCAGCCTCAGCCAGGGCAAGGACTTTTCTTCCAGCTCTGTGGAGGCAGTGCCACAGTGAACTGGGCAGGGGCACACTCGGTACCTGCTGTCTGACCCAGGGCAGCTGCTACCTGGCTGCTCCCCGGCTTTGCACAGCCCATCCCACAGGGCTCAGCAGAGCCTGGGCTTGTCCAGTGGGGCAGGAGGAGCGGGGAGAGGCAGCCAGCCCCTGCCCTGCTCATGGTCCCCAGTTCCGGGTCTGTCTTGCAGTTAGGGGGGCGCACCCAGAGCTGGAGCACAGCTCGGCTCTGCTGTACACTGGATTGGTGGAGAATGGTGATGATTAAATTGCAGCTGTTCTTGCTCCTCTCTTCTGCTGTTCACAAAATCCCAGCCTGGTTTGGGTTGAAGGGACCTTAAACCTCATCCAGTTCCAGCCCCTGCCATGGGCAGGGGGCACCTTCCACTGGAGCAGGTTGCTCCAAGCCCCATCCAACCTGGCCTTGAACACTGCCAGGGATGAGGCAGCCACCCCTGGAAGTTACTGGGAACCATCTGTCCCTGGGCTGTGCATCACTGCCTGGGACCCGAAGGGGGGGGGTTGTGCCTGCTCTCGGCCCCCTCCAGCTGCACATTTTGGCCAGGGCTTGAGGAATGGAGCCAGAGACAGGATCTACTGAGTGAGGCCAAACTTCCTGGGAATGAGAAGCTGTGGAGTTCTGAAATGGGCTTGGAGGGGACCAGGAGCCCTGGAACATCCCCCAGGCTGCGGAAAGGGGATGGGAGCTACAGGAGAGCCTCTCCCCACCCTGAGCTCTGCTCCTGGGGCTGTTCACACTGAGGCTGCCACTGCCTCAAGCTAGGAGCATCTTGGCTTGGCCGGAGCTCTGCAGGACCACAGGCAGCTCTGGGCTCCCCTCCCAGGCAGCCAGGGCAGCAGTTCAGGCCCTCCAGTTCAGGTGAGCCACCCCTAAGCCAAGGCGGGGAGTTCAGGCTCTCCAGAGGTTCTCCTCTTCTGCTGTTTCTCCAGGTGAGACTCCCCTGCCTTAAAGAACAGGCTGGGGGCTACCTCCTGTTCACCTGTGCCACTGGGTGCCCTGCCACCCCACAACCTCCATGTTCCCAGCAGCCTTGATCCATGCTCAGCCACAAAACAGCAACTGCCCTTTCTGTATCTGGGTGCACTGACCCAGTCACCAGCGCCGGTCACCCCACGCTGAAGTGCACAAGCTCAAAAGGCCTGAGGCCTTCAGAAGGACCTGCAGATGGTGTGGAATGGAGGACATCAACCATGCTCATGGGGCACTTTCAATGTTGCTGCACTGTTGGACTGAGGAGGGTCACTGACCAGGCTGGAGCTGTGGGACTGCTGGGGGTGCCCCATGTGTCCCCCAGCTCCACAGATGTGTCCTTATGGTGGGTTAGTTCTGAAGCTCTTCTGTCCCTGTTCAGGGTCAAGGTCCTTTGGTTCCACTATTGTGGGTACCACTTGGCTTCCCCAGGTCCCTGTGTGGCTCCCAGCAGGCTGAGCCCAGCACTGCTAGATGCATGGAGATGCCAGACACCAGGAGGTGGACCCTGGGACAGCCGGGCACATAGAAACACAGAATCCCAGCCTTGTTTGGGTTGGAAGGGACTGTAAAGCTCATTCAGCTCCAGACCTCTCCCACAGGCAGGGACACCTTCCACTGGAGCAGCTTGCTGTGTCCAACCCTCTGTGTCCAACCTGGCCTTGAACACTGCCAGGGATGGGGCAGCCACAGCTTCTCTGGGCACCCTGTGCCAGCGCCTCAGCACCCTCACAGGGAAGAGCTTCTGCCTAAGAGCTCATCTCAGTCTCCCCTCTGGCAGGTTAAAGCCATTCCCCTTGGCCTGTCCCTACATCCCTTGTCCCAAGCCCCTCTCCAGCTTTCCTGCAGCCCCTTTAGGCACTGGAGCTGCTCTAAGGTCTCTGGGGTTGTTGGCTACCTAAGACAGCCCAACCCCAGGGCAGTCGGGCACCCAGGGCTGCAGGAACCCCGGGTGGGCTGGATCCCGGCGCTGCTGCACCTCTGGGGCTGCCACATCCCAGGGGCTGCCGGACCCCGGGACCATCCTCACGCCGGAGTCACGGGATCCCCAGGAGCCCCCGGAGCCCCGGGCTGAGCTGGGAGCCGGGAGCCAGGATCCGCATCCTTCCCTCGGGGCTCCCTCCGCGCATTCCTCGGCGCTGCCCACCCGGGGGACCCCCGGGCCCGTCGGGGCGGCGCTGCCCGCGGTGGGGGGCGCGGCCCCCGGAGCCTGGCCTGCCGTCACGGGAACCAATGCGGGCACCGCCGCCGCCGGGGGGGCGGGGGGGAGCGGCTGCGGAGCGCTCGCACTGCGGCTTCCGCCCGCCGAGCGGCGGCCAGGGCAGGGCGGTCGCCGGGCACGGTGGAGCCGGGGGGGGGGGCGGCGGAGCGAAGCGCGGGGGGGAAGCGCCCCGTATGGGATGGGCCGGGTCAGGCCGGGCCCCGCCGCTCCGATGGTGATGGCGGCCCGCGGGCTGCGACCGCCCCGCCGCGCCCGAGCCGGAGCCGCGGAGCTGCCGCTGGTGCTGGTGCTGGTGGTGCTGAGCCGCGGAGCCGCGCAGGAGCTGAGCCCCCGCGGCAGGAACGTCTGCAGGGCCGGAGGGTAGGAGCGGCGGGACGGGACGGGACGGGACCCCGCGGGGCCGGGGCGCGGGGTGCGGCGGGATGGGAAGGGGGGGACGCGGGACGCACACACACACGGACCGGTGCTGGGCTCCTGCTAGGGTGAAATCCAGCTTGTGAGTTGAGCCGGGGGGAGCCGGGTACCGGGGAGGGCCGAGGAGCTCGGCCCGCGAGGGGCCGGGATGGGGGTCCGGTCCTGACCGCCGGGAGAGCTGCGGGGACCCGGCTCTGGGCACACCGGGGCCGGCCCTGCTCGCCTTTGGGGCAGTCCTGCTGCGCGGAGCCGGTTCTGAGTGCTCCTGGACAGTCCCGCACTTCGCGGCCGCCGGGAGTGCTGTGAACACCCGGTCCTGCAGCCCCCGGGGCCGGTTCTGCCCCCCGCCCCCCCCCCCCCCCCCCCCCCCGGGGCCGATCCTGCTGCGGGGACCTTTTCTTTGGTGCCTCGTGATCATCGAGTCGTGCTGTGGGGGACCAATCCTGCATCCCTGGGGCCGGTTCTGCTGTGGGGAGCCGATCCTGGGTGCCTCCAGGCATCGGATTGCACTTGGGGGAGGCCGGTCCTGCACCCCCCGCAGCCAGTCCCATGGCCGAGCAGGATGCAGGATGCTTTGGGTATGCTGGTGGAGCTGCCCAGGGCTGCTCGAGATGGTGGACTTGGCAGTTGCAGCAGCCTCGGGTTTGTCTTCAACAAGTGAGTGCTGGTACTACCTGGCTGCCCCCGGGGGTCACATCCTGCCTGCCTGATCGGGGTGGTGACAGAGCCCTGGGAGCTGGCACTGCCTTGTCCCCACTCCCTGAGCTCTGCCTCTACCACAGGTCACTGCAGAGCATCGCCTCGGGCCAAGCTTCTCTGCAGCGCTGGGGCTTGGTGCTGGCCAGGCTGGCCCCAGTCAAGGGGGGAGAGTGCCCACAGACACTGCCTCCTGGCTGGGAGAGCTCCAGCCCCTGCCCTTGCTGGGGGGCCCAGGCCATAAATGCACCTTTACATCTCGCCTGTGAGGTCAGATGAGTCCACAAGGAAAACATGTGCTGAGAGCGAGAGGGGCCACATAATGGCTCCATTCAGCAGGGCCGCAGGGGCTGGTGCCCCCTCCTCAAGTTACAGCCTGAGTTTCCTAAGGAGGCATTTCAGGAGCCGGAGCGGTGGCTGCTGTGGATGTGGGATGTGGGAAGTGGGAAGCGGTTCCTCCTTGCTGCCCATCATCTGTCCAAGCAAAACTGCCACCATGTCCTGGGGTGGCAGCGGGAATGTGACGCAGAGTCCCCCCTACCCTGTCCCGTTCCCAGCATCCAGCCCCACGTGCTGAGGATGGGATGTCTGAGTGCTTCCCTTTGCACCATTCCTGCTGGAGGGATGCTGCACCCAGTGCTGCGGGGCTTGGACACTAGGTGTTCGCCAACAAGCAGACAGGATGCAGGGGGTGATGTCCATCCTCCCATGGGGCCTGCAGGCAGCCTGGGTGCCAGACAAGGTGGGTAGGGGGCAGCCCCTGAGATGTTCTTCTTGGCATGGAGGATGCCCCATGTGTCACCATCCAAACACACCTTAGTGGCCCCAAGAACTGGGGTGCTGTGGGTCCTTCCCTGGCCCTGGGGCTTTGGGACAGGTCCCAGTGTCCCCCACCCAAGCTGGGTGAAGCTGCTGGTTGGATCTGTGGTTGTGATGCTCTGCCAGGCACCTCCATCCCTTGAGGATGCCAGTCGTCAGTTTTGGGGGGCTTGAGGGCAGGATTCTGCTTCAGCTCCTTCTGTGACCTCCTGAGACCTGGCTAGTGAGCAACAACCCAAGGAACTATGTGGGGCAGAAGAAAAGGGATGTGTGGGGACAATTTGGTGTTAAAGTTTTCTTTCCTAATTTTGAAGTTCTTTTAGAACCAAGTTACAAGCTGGGGTGCTACTCTCCGACGCTGGTGTTTGGGGTGCAGGCCGGTGCCTGGGCACTGCTTTGTCCCCATCCTGCTCTCACCAACACTTTCTTTTGGTGAGCATTGCTTTTAAACTTTTCTTTCTCTGGCTGAAGAGTTTCCACGATCCTGCTCCAGGGAATCTCTGCCTTGCACCCCAGGGTTGAGGTTGGGCCGGGGACCTGGAGCTGGCATCATCCAGGGGGGATGTTGCTGGCTGGGACCCCGTGGTCCCTGTGTGCCACATGGGGGGAGCTGTGTGACACCAAGTGATGGGTGATATGGAGAAAGAAGGAGCTCAGTGCCACGGTGATCCTTGGGAGAAACAGTGGGGTGGGGAGCACTCAGGATGGCCACAGGGCTGGGGAGGGGACAGCAGTGCTGTGGGCTGTGGGGACACGCTGCGTGCTCACGAGCTGAGAGCAGGAGGTCTCACATGGGACCATCTGACATGAGACCACAGCAGTGGCTCCCACCCGAGCCCCAGGGTCTATCCTCTGCTCTGGGGATGTAAGCCCACTCCTCACTGTTTTTTGGGGGGGGGGGCTGTCTCGAGCTGTCCCTCCAGCCTCAGGAGACCCCTCCATAGCTGTGGGTGAAGGGGATGTGCTTCAGGGAGCAATCCACCCACAGGAAAAATATTTTGTCTCCATAGAAGCCCCCAGAGCATCCATGGAGGTGCTGCTGGTGCTCAGCACAAGCAGGATGTGGCCATGTGCTGGGCATTGAGCGATTGTCCCTGCAGGTCAAGGCCCTGGTTGCCCCCACATCCCTGCTTCTTCCTTCCACATCAGCAGAGCTCCCACATCCTGGACAGGTCTTAGGGGCAGCTTTTCTTTCTTCTTTTCCCAGCGTCTGAAGTGCTTTGGAGAAGAGGGAATAGAAGATGCATTTGCACCCAGCATGTCTGCAGTGGCAGGTCCCTGTGGGGAGCGAGCGACCTTTTAAACAGATCTCCCATTTACCCGAGTCCCAGTGGTCATGGGATGTATGGAGCAAGCCCTCTTTGCAGGAGCTGAGACCACAAGACGTGGTTTAGATCCATGTCCCGTGGGTCATGCTGCAGCCAGCACCACCCCTACCTGGGGGTGGCTGTACTCAGGGACCAGTCCGTGTGCCACACTGGGAGCACCAGTGACCCCCTGCTGAATCACAGCTGCCTCTGCTGAGCAGAGGGGTGCTGGATGCCAGCAGCAGGCATGGGGAAGCAGGGATTAGCTGTCAGCCACAAGGTAAACACAATCCCAGTGCTGTGGGTGGGCTGGTGGTGGTCACGGTGCTGCTCACCTCCTCCAGCTCACGGCCGGGGAGGGGTTTCTCCCTCCTGCCACTGTTTCAGCATCTCCCCACCGTCAACCACGGGGCTTTCATCACAGGTGATGCTTTTTGGTGCCTCCCCTGTAATGCCCATTTTGGCAGCCAAGCCAAGCTGTTTTGAGGGAGGAGGTTTCCCAGGCAGAAGGGTTTCCCCTTGCAAACCTGCTGTGGTTTCATCAAAAAACCACCAAATGCTGAATTTCCAAAGGGGGGAACAATAAAAGCAGGGCCAGGTGGGACAGTGACTGCTTGGAGAGGGTCAGGACACCACGGACCCCTCCGGCTGCACCCCTGCACGGCAGGCACTTAGGGGAGGGCAGCCTGAAGCCTCGTGCAGAGAAGAACCTTGCCTCCAGCCCACCCGGTCTCCGGGGAGGTGGTTTGGTGGTTGACCGCCCTTTGCCCTTAACACCCTGCATCCCCTTGTGTGCTTGCCCAGGGCAGAGCCCCCTCACTTGAGCCCCGCGGTCCCCGCACGGGGGGTTTCTCCGGCTGCCATCGCAGCATCTTGCAGCCGCTTCGGCGGCTGAAGGATGGAGCTATTTTGGGCTCCGTCTGCGAGGCATTCTTTCCAGGCCTTGAATCATTTTTGTGGTTCTTTTCTGCCTCTTTTCCAACTTTTCCGCATCCGCTGTGAGCAGGGGACACGCTGCTCCTGGTGGGGCCGGGCGGGCGCTGGGACCTGCCTCCAGTGCCCCCAGTACCGGTGCTGGGCTGGGGGCTGCTGGCAGCTCCCTCGCTCCCTCCCCGGCCCCAGGACAAGGCTGTCTGGCAGCCAGACACCGTCCTGTGACTGCGCTGGGTTTGAGCGGATACTTCCTCACTGTCTCCTCCTCTTCTGCATTTGTTACTTATAAAGAGGAAAAGGAGGGAAAAAAAAAAAAGAGAAAGAGCAAAGCGCATTCCAGGCTGCGCCGCAGAATGAGTGGCCCTGGATTGACTGCAGCACCCACTCGAGTCCTTTGTAGCTCTCAGCATTGGTCTCGGGGCTGGCCGGGACCAGGCAGTATGGTACCACCAGGGATGAGCAGGGTCCCTGCAGGAATGAGCAGGTCCCCCCAGGGATGAGGGGGTTTCCTGCAGTGTCCCGGAACAGGGAGTGTGTTCCCTGCACCTGGGTTGCAGTGTTGGGATCCCCCAGCCTGTCACTCGGGGGGTCATTGAACAAGCGTGGGTGAGGTGTCCCCAGGCGTCCCATTCCAGTAAGGACCTGAGCATCTCTGGCTGAGCCTCAGAGGGGCTGGGAGACCCCATCCTGGTGCTGGCCAGGGTCAGGCTTGTGCTAAAAATGCTTTGGGTGGTGGTCTTATACATGGTGCTCCCTGGAGGTGGTGGCACTCGTGGGCACTCAGGGGCTCAGGGATACATCCCAGCCACATGCAGTTGGCATCACACAGCTTCTATGTGGGGAATGTGCCCCAGGGGCTGTGCTTGAGATGTTCTTTTCCCAGCTTTTAGGGGTTTGGGGGATTTCTTTTGTCAATAACGGTTCCAAACACACCTTTCCTTGTTTCACCACTCCTGGCTCAAAGAGGATCTGGTCCTGGCCTCACTCCTGGCTGAATCCGGTGCCCATGGGAGCCCCCAGCAGCTCTGCGTTGTGAGGAGCAGCCAGCAGCATTCCTTGTCCCATGGGACCAGGCTTCAACTGTCCAGGAGTGAGACCACTCACCATCATGGCACCAGTGTTCTCCATGGAGTTTTGGGAAAGACTAGGGCTTTCTGAGGGTCATAACCAGTCATGGTGCTTTTTCTTGCCTCTGTAGCTCCGCGGTGCTCATGTGCTGCCCAGGATGGAGGCAACAAGGAAGCGAGTGTTTAATAGGTAAGCACTGGTGTCTCCCTGTGTTGGACGCTGCTCTTCTGCCCATCCTTTGATAAGCCCTCCTGGCCTCACTGTTGTCAGGGGCCACCCTGATGTGCCCCACAGCGGGACCTCCTGTCCAGGGACCTCTGCCTGCAGCCAGGCTCCCTGGGGATGCTGGGGCCTGTCCTGCCTCCCTGTGGTACTTGAAGCCATCAGTGTGTGGATGGAATGGGTGCTCAGCCCCAGTGCTGGGGTGCTGGGGTATCCCCTGAACCCACAGTGACACCCTGGGGTGCACCGGGCACCAGATGGCTCCTCCATGTGGAGCATCACCCCCACTCCCAGGCTGGCAGGTTTCTCTCCATGCTGGCCAGCTCTGGGGGTGCTGCTTTGGGACCCAAGGGTCAGCCAGGGTTCCCCAGGGTGAAGCGTGGGGACGGGGAAGGTGCAGCTGCAGGGATGGGACCCAGAGACTTCCCACAGCAGCGTGAGGAGCCAAGGCAGAGCCACCGAGACCAGGCACGTGTCCATCATGGCCCCAGTGGGGAGAGGCTGCTGGGGCAGCCCCAGCCAGGGCCACGCCAGGCGTTGCAGTTCTTGCAGGGGCACGGATGCTGAGCGTGAGGCCCTGGAGCTCTGATCCTCTGCGCTGATCCACAGGCGTGGGGCTGCTCCGGGGTTCCTGAGCTATCCCCCACAGCCTCAGCTGGCCACAGGACTCCCCTTGCCCCAGGAGAGATGAAGGAGCTCAGGGCAGCAGCCTGGGGCACCAGCAGTGTGCAGCCAGCAGCCAGGACATGTAACCAACTAACCCACCGTGCATGAGCCCTTGTAACCGCTCGCTGCATGCGTTGGATGCCTGCACACCAGGAACAGGGCATGGTCCATTCGGCATGAGAGAGAACAGGGTCTGCCAGGACACTGGGGGGAGGACGGTCCCACCAGCAAGCTTTCCCCATCTCCTTGCCCCCCCAACCTGCTCTAACCCTTAGACTCACTGCTCCTAACCTGTGTAATCTGTCTATTTTAGGGGGTTCTATAGTATCCATCACCGTAGGTCTAACAGCTCCCAGGTAAGGTGAATGGGATGGGTGGTCTGCTCTCCCGTGTGGCTCCTAAGGTGGCTCATCTAGGGCCGTGCAGGACCTGCCTGTGCCAGCCTGCGCCATCATGCTGCCTGTCCACATCCTGCTCCTGCCCCAGCACAGGGATCCCTCACAGCAGGGGGGCTGCTGGCCCAGCAGGAGAGGCAGTGGTGGGGTGGCAGTGACACCACCGTGTCTGTAATGAGTGGAGGGGACAGGGGACTGCCTATGACACCCCCAACCCATGTCCCTGTTCTCCTTCGGTGCCCACAAGCAGTCCCGGCACAGGGGTGTTTCTGCTGGTGACATGGATCTGAGCCGCTGGTGGGTGCAGACACGGACAGGGATGGATTGGGCTGGGTGGCAGGAGGCTGCTGCGGGGATGGAGCTGAATGGAGTGGCAGGAGGCTGGTGGCCTTTTCTTGGCGAGGGTCCCATCCAGCCTGCCCGGCTGCTTGCCAGGACGGTCACTGTGCCACAGCACCTGTGGGGCCGGGGTGTGTTTGGGAACGGGGATGGGTCCAGTGGCATCGTGCTTTCTCCTGATACCTGTCCATCCATCCAGCTGTGTGCGAGGGGAACTTCACCTGCAAGGAGAATGAGGTGTGTGTCCGGCCTGGCGAGTGCCGCTGCCGCCATGGCTACTTTGGAGCCAACTGTGACACCAGTGAGTACCGGCATGGCATGAGGTGTCCTTGGTGGGGTTCACTGGGGGTTAGCTCATCCCGGAGTGACTTCCGAGAGGTGGATGCTCTGCTCTGGCTTTGTGGCCAGGGCATCATTCCTTTGGAGGGGTCTCCTCTGAGACCCAGCGCACTAGAGGAGGGGGGTCACTGCACTAGAGGAGGGGGGTCACTGCACTAGAGGAGGGGGGGTCACTGCACTAGAGGAGGGGGGGTCACTGCACTAGAGAAGAGGGGTCACTGCACTAGAGGATGGGGGTCACTGTGCTTGAGCATCCCGTTGGGAGCGGGGGTCTCCCCTGGAGGAGGGGTTGTTTACCGCAGGCAGTGCCAGGGCTGATGGCTCTGCCCGCAGAGTGTCCCCGGCAGTTCTGGGGTCCCGACTGCAAGGAGATGTGCAGCTGCCACCCCAACGGGCAGTGCGAGGACGTGACGGGGCAGTGCACCTGCAATGCCAACCGCTGGGGTCCCAAGTGCGAGAACATCTGCCTCTGCAAGCACGGCAAGTGTGACCAGAAGACAGGCAAGTGCACCTGCGAGCCCAACTGGTGGGGACCGCAGTGCTCCAGCTCCTGCTACTGCAGCCACAACTCCCAGTGTGACCAGCAGACAGGGAACTGCCTGTGCCAGCCCGGCTGGTGGGGCCGCGGCTGCAACAACCAGTGCTCCTGCAACAACTCTCCCTGCGAGCAGTTCACGGGGCGCTGCCAGTGCCGGGAGCGGACGTTCGGGCCCCGCTGCGACCGCTACTGCCAGTGCTACAAGGGCAAGTGCAACCAGGTGGATGGAACGTGCACGTGTGAGCCGGGATACCGCGGGAAGTACTGCCGCGAGCCGTGCCCTGCGGGATTCTATGGACAGGGCTGCAGGAGGCGGTGAGTGCCTGGAACCCCCGGACTCTGTGGGAGGTGGCGGCAGGAGGACTGAGGGATGCTGTGCAGGCTGATGGGCTGCCCCTCAGTCACAGTCATGCCTAGGCTGTGAATTCAGGACATTCCTGGGGAGGGGAAGTAGGTATTTCGCACAAACTTCTGAATGCAATTCCAGAAAACGAGATAGTAAGGGTAGATTATTAATAGTTAGAGCCATATTTTCTGTTCTCTGTTCTCAAAGCCCCCACTTCGCTGAAGTAAGAGGCTGAGAAAGGTGAGGGAAGGGAGATGTTGAACAAAGGGAAGTTGCCGTTGCAGGTGCGGGCAGTGCAAGAGCCTGCAGCCGTGCACCGTGGCGGATGGGCGCTGCCTGACCTGCGAGGCGGGCTGGAATGGCACCAAGTGCGACCAGCCCTGCTCTCCCGGCTTCTATGGAGAGGGCTGTGAGAAGCTCTGCCCCCCCTGCAAGGATGGTCACACCTGCAACCACATCAACGGCAAGTGCTCCCACTGCAACCCTGGCTGGATTGGAGACCGGTGAGTGCTGCAGCCGGGACCGGGCAGGTGATGCCCAGCATCCCTCCTGCCCCCTGCCTGGCTTTCTGCAGCCAGAAGGGGAGGGCAGGGGTAGGCTGAGCCCACTGACACAGCCACGAGACTGAAGGGAGCCTGTGAGACCCCTGCCTATGCCCCTATGCAGTGCTGGGTGCTCGTGGCAGGGCTCAGCTCTCAAGCTCAGATGCATTCCCGCAGGCTGTTGTGCCCGGGATTAGTTCCAGGGCTTTGAAGCACCCAAACAGGGATGATAACACACAGCCCATCTCCCTGCCTGCAGGCAGGAGGGTTGTGGGGATGGATGCCAGCATTCCCCAGGATCCATGGATGCTCCATCGCCTGCCCTCATCCCTCCCATTTCAGGTGTGAAACGAAGTGCCGGAACGGGACATACGGGGAGAACTGCGCCTTTGTCTGCAGTGACTGCGTCAATGGCCAGTGCCACTTTGAGACAGGCCGCTGCCTCTGCCACCCCGGCTCCCATGGCACCTAGTAAGTGAGGCACAGTGGGCGTGCTTGGGGTGCACTCCAGGGCTCCTGGAGTGTGGGCCTTCTGGCCGGGGTCTTCCTCACCCCTGGGAAGAGCCCCCAGCCCTCCTCCTGCCCAAGGAGGTTCCCAGACAAGAGGTTTCCTGTGGTGGAAGCACTCGTGGGCAATAATAAAGATGAATTTTGGAAGGGGGCGAAAGGACGCGCTCGTGAAGCCCTTAGCAGGAGAAGGATTTTGCTGTAGGAAATGTCTATTTGGCAAAAACAAATGCTGTCGACAAAACAGTGGTTTCTTGGGGGATTTTAAGTCCAGGGTGGAATTTCTAGCCGAAAAGAGAGAGAAAACCACATCCCAGAATAGCAAAAAGCCTCACACACATGGCATCCACAGGGTGCTCCTGCTGCAAGCTACAGCTCTGGTCGGAGTCTTCCACATCCCTGGGAAGAGCCCCCCAGCCCTCCGCCTGCCCAAGGAGAGGGCACAGGGACATTGGATATCCTGCTTGCATTCCCTGGTGGTTTTGTCCAGTGTGGGACTGTGTGGAAAGGCAGAAAAGCATTTCCTTATGCCTGGGGCATGCAGACAGCTCCCACAGTGCCGGTGTTGCTTGGATTTTCCCATCATTAACTGCAGGGGCGATGGCAGAAGAGAGATTCGGAGCTGGTGTCCTTCCCATGCCAGTTTTTCGCTCAGGACATATAAACAAGGAGTGTTTGGATTTTGGGTGGGGTTTGGGGGGCTTCACCAGCCCCTCATGCTGCTAAAAGAGCCAGATGGGCACTGGCAGCAGCTCAGGCCAGGGCATCGTGTCCGCCTTTGGCAGCAGGGGTGGAGGGAGCTGGGTGCTTGGTGCTGCTTTCAGCGGAGTGCCAGACAGCAGCACATGGATTAGACTTCTGAGACCCCGGCACAGCACCAGGAGTGTGGGGACCAGGGTGCTCAGGATGCAGCCACAGCCCCAGCAGCATCCCCAGCAGCGCTGTAGCTGTGGGCTGAGCTGTGCTGTATGGGTGCACTCCAGGCTCAGGCTGCTCCCTGTGACTATGTGCAAACTCATGCATTTGTCAGTGTATAATTTTGCTAAAAAGGGATGATTTCTGGAAGGAAGGCAGAACGATGTCCTCCCTGTGCAGGGGGTTCTCTCAGCTCTGCATTGGGAGGATACTAAAGTACCTGTGGTGTGCAGAGAGTTGTGTATCTCCTCCACATCATTCCCAGAGGTGTCAAGACCAGAGGTGAGAGGAAAGCAAATTCTGCCCTGTGCTCTCCCAGGTTGTGAGGAAATGCAGGTCTGGTGGTGGGATGAGCAGTTTTGTCAGGGAACCGTCCCTGCTCCCAGCCGCCGGAGCAGCCGCGGGCTCGGTGTGCGCCCAGTCGTCACCCAGCGCCGGGCAGGCACGAGGCTGGGCTTTGCGAGTTGTTGGAGTATGAAATGGGCTGATCCGCCTCCAGGCACGGTGCCGAGGGCCGGGACGTTCCCAGGGGAGCGGGTTTGGGCCAGGGCCCGCTGGCTCCTTACGGCTGCAGCCGCTCCGGCTGGGACGCTGCTGGTGGTGAACAGCTGCTGGAGGGTTCAGTGCCCAGCAGTGCCACCAGCATCCCTGAATCCGCTGCACCATGTAGCCAAGGCCCTCAGTGCCATGGGTTAGTGGTGGCCTCGGCAGTGCTGGGAGCAGTTGGACTGGGTGATCTTGAAGGTCTTGTCCAGCCTGGCTCATGATCACTGTTTCCTCCCAGCTGTAACCTCACGTGCCCGCCCGGCCGCTATGGAGCCAACTGCGCTGAAGCCTGCAGGTGCCACGACGGTGCCTGCAACCCGCTGACAGGCGCCTGCCACATGGGTGAGAGCTGGGATGGGCACAGAATGGGCACTGGAGGTGCACGGGGCTGGATGGGGCTGAGCCACCTATTCTGTTTTGCAGAGGCCAACCAGCGGATGGGGGTGATCGGTGCAGGGGCGCTCCTGGCACTACTGCTCATCCTCCTGCTCTCCCTGCTCTGCTGCTGTTGCATCTGCCGCAAGAAGGACGAAGCCTGTGGGTGAGTACCAGGGCCAGGCGGGCTCCCGCCGGGCTCTGACACAAAGCCTGAGCAGGAAAGGGGGTGGCTGGGGACATTGGTGACCAGTGCATGGCTGGGACCAGGATGGGGATGCAGGGACCGCACTGAGACAGCGGTGCTGCAGGGAAACTGAGACAGAGCAGCACTGTGTGTTCTGCACATCCCAGGGGTATGAGCTGGTCCTGCTACATCCTCAGGGCAGCACCCAAGCAGCAGGTGATGGAGGGACTCGGGGTGAGCCTCTTCCCTGACTGTTTCCCTCTCATGGGCCACCACTTCACAGAGGTCCTCTCCAGTATCTGGGAGGATGGAGCGAAAGGAACCCTAAAACACAGTGAGGGCATCAGGATGTGACCAAGACCCCCAAGAACAATCCCCTGGGCTATAGCATGAGTCCTGGAGGAGGGCAATCGGCTGCAGCACTGCTGGGCTGGGATGCTGATGCTGGCAGCATGTTGGCAGTGCCAGGTGACATCCCCATTGCGGAGGGAAAGGCTTGTGCTGCTCAGCATGGGCCAGGCTGTGGGACTTCCTCCAGCCATGGTGAATCCCTTCTCTCATGCTGGCAGCCGCTGCTCTGGGATTTTCCAGAAGCTCCTGTTGCAGCCATGCCAGCTCAGCCCTGTCCTGCACATCTGGCTCAGAAGCCCTGGGAGCTGCAGGCAATTACCCACAGAGAAAAGCACCAGCGCAACACCCTGTGGTGAGGTGTTGGACAGGGAGAGGGGAGATGAGTTCCCTCTCTCCCATGGTGCCTGGATCTCTGCAGTGTCCCCCAGAAGCCAGGTCACCCCAAGTGCCACCCCCACGGCACTGCCTTGTGGAGCATCCCAAGTGATGGGCACAACTGCCTGAAAAAGCCTCAAAACCAGAGAGCAAATAAAGAGAAGCCACGTATTTGTTCTGGGGTCTTGGCTGGGCGTTCCCAGTGCTTTGGACTGCCAACAGCCGTGGCCGGCTCCGGCCTTGCCACCACCCCCGGCACTGCTCTGCAGCCCGGTGTGGTGTGAGCCGGTGCCGCACTGGCAGCACCCTCGGCAGGTCTCCAAACCCCCTTTCACCTGCCCCAGTATTTTCCCCTGACGCCCTTTGTCTCTGCAGGCCCCTGAAGCCTTGACTCTCTCCATCACCCCATGAATGCTGTCCCCACCACAGGGTGACTGCTGGTGCCTCTCTGATGGGGCTGTCACCTTCTCTTGCAGCTCCGGCCAGGACCCGGCAGCAGCCAAGAAGCCACCGAGACGCTTGTGCGGGCGGTTCAGCCGCATCGGCATGAAGCTCCCGCGCATCCCACTGCGGCGCCAGAAGCTGCCCAAGGTCGTGGGTAAGGTGCTGCCATCTGGGGAGGGGCACAGAGCCACAGCCCAGGGGCTGACCCCTCACAGGACAGAGCAGGACTCGCAGCTCCCAGCCCAGGCAGTGAGCACAGCACAGCAGGGACGGGGACAAGCAGGTCCCCAGCTCCATCAAAGTGCTTGGTGTGAGCGCATGGCTCACAGGTGCTGAGCCCTTTCTGCAGCTTCTGGATGTCAATGGTATCATTTTGCTTTTGCCTGGTGAACTGAGCTCTGCTGAGCTGCTCTGGGGGGATTTGAGATTCCCCAGGTAGGGGAAATGTCCCTGTTGCACCAGGGAATCGCCTCGTTTGGCCTTTTGGTCCTGACCTAACCCTGCCCAAGCTTTGTGTGGAGCCTGAGCGTCCCAGCTGGTGCCAGAGCTCACCCTGCTTCTGCGTGTAGCAGAGGTGAGGATGGAGGGCAGGGACGTTGGGTGAGGTCCCCCACTGCCTGGGCACAAACAGCACTTGCAGGAGATGCTCACATGTGCAAAGGGCCTGACCTAGAGCTGGGGGACAGCGTCCCCTGCCCCAAACCCTCCTTGTGCTCATCCCAGCGTGAGGAGCTAGGGATGCGCTGCCCCCAAGAGGACCCCATTGAATAAACCGGCGGGTGCTGCACTGCCGTGGGGCTCAGCCTCCCTTTCCTGGAGGACAGTGGCTCCCTTTCCCACTGGACAGTGGCTCAGCATGATGCCAAGTCCCCCATTAAGGGTGGGACATGGCCCCATCCCAGCACACGGTTCCTGATCAACTTCATCACAGCCTCCTTGCCGTGTGGGGCACAGCAAAGCCCTGCCATGGAGCAGGGTGTGTCGGGGCCGGAGAAACATTCCTACTGCAAGGATAACAGAGGCCGTGTTTGTGGAAGGGGCCGGGCAGGGCTCGGGAAGGACAGAGGGTGCCTGTGTGCGGCAAGGGCAGGGGGAGCTCAAGGGGGGCTGCCTGCACCTTCCCTGCGTCAGCCCAGAGGCAGCTGGAGCCCATCCAGCTTCTCTGTGTAAACAGGATGGCAGCGGGCCCGGGAAGGGGTGAGGACGGTGCCAGAGGGATGCTCGGGATGGCCTCGTGTCCTGGCAGGGCTGTGGCTATTCCCAGAGCCTGGTGAGGAGGCTGGGGGTTGTTAGGAAAAGGGAACAGGCTTTGGTCAGGGCTTGCCTTGTGTTCATCGCGTCAGCCCGCGCGCTGGAGCCAGTGAGTTTTGGCAGCAATAGTGCATGGTGCAGTGACACCTCCAGCCCCTGCTGGGTCTGGGCACCCCCCGGGCAAAGGGGAGCTGCTGAGTGCCTGGAGTAGCTTCATCCCGATGATGCCAGTGACCGCCGTGCCAGGTCAGCACACAGCTCCACCTGGAAGCCACGGGCCACAACACAGTAGCCTGCTGCCATGTTGGTCCTGCCCCAGCAGGAGGGTCCAGGGATGCTGAAATGCCTCATCCCAAAGGCCAGGTCAGAGCTGGAGGTGCTCAGGACCCTGTGGGGATGTCATGGGTAAACCAGTGCTGCCTGAAGCCATGGATGCCCTGCATATGGTTGCTCTGCATCTACTCATGTTCTTGCAGAGCTGCTGCCCCAGCTGTGTGTTTGCTGTCACTGGGTGGATTTTCCCTCTGGGCTCAAACATGATCATGGTCAATAACAGTGAACACAAGCCTGTGAGCATGGTAGAACCTTCCCAGGTGGGATACCAGGTCTTCCTGAAGCTCATCAGGAGCCCCAGGTGTCCCCCTGGGAAGCTTCTTCCCAGCCTTGGCATCAGCTTTGGGTCCACAGCATCTCCCTGGGGATCGCACCGAGCTGGCAGCCAGCAGGGCCACAGCTTGGGCTGACCCTTGTGGCTGCACTGCCAAGGTTTGGGCCACTGTGCAGGCAGGGCTGAGGTTGGCACCTTCATGCTGTGGCCCTGGGAGATTTTGGGGATCAGTGGCAGGAGGGGACTGGTGAGAAGCATCCATGTTTCTCCCAGCCCCATCAGCCAGGGGTGTATATCAGCCAGGGGAGGTAAATCCCAAGGGACCACGCAGGAGCTCCCAGCCCCCTCTGGGTGTGCTGCACATCCTCTTTGTATCTTCTAGCCGTATCCTGGGTCTCACTGAGGTCCCAGAGGCGCCCTGTGGCCGTGGGTCCCAGGCGCTCATCACGCCTCCTCTCAGGAAGCGTCTCCCTTCATCTACTTCCAGCCAGCTGCTTTTAATTTTCCCTTTTTGGTTTGTTTTAAAGGAAAGCCATATTGGAACTGCCACCTCCCCTCTGCAGCTGTTTGCTCTTGAAATACTGCTGTATTGGGGTTTTCTTTCCTTTCTCCAAGAAGACAAACTGGGCAAGGGCAGGTGGGCATCGTTGCCCTCGTTTTAATGCAGTCCTAATAAAGAATCAATGTGCTGGGAAAGGAGGACATCCCAATGACACTGAGTTATTTTATTGTAAAGCAGGGATGTGCAAGAACCCCTCAGTCCAAGCAGGAAACTGCAGCATGCCTTAGGTGTTGGGATGTGTGGGCAGAGGTGACAAATACCTGGGGGTAATTGTCAACCCCAAAGGGGCCCAGAGCTGACACAGGATTTGAGGTGTGGCCTCACCAGTGCCCAATGAAGGGGGGCAATCACTGCCCTGGCCCTGCTGCCACACCGGTGCTGATACAAGCCAGGATGCTGGTGGCTTCTTGGTTACCAGAGCATCTGGAGCTGCCTAAGTCTCGGAGTGGGTCGGTCCCCTCCACCGAGCTGGGTGCTGCCATGGTCCTGTGATTCTATGACCACCCTCCTGACTGGGCTGAGGTGTCCAGCAGTCCTGGCACTGACAGCACTTCTTTGCCCTTGCAGTTGCCCACCACGACCTGGAGAACACCCTGAACTGCAGCTTCATTGAGCCACCCTCTGTGGTGGAGCAGCCTTCCCCGTCCTGGTCATCCCGTGGTTCCTTCTCCTCCTTCGACACCACGGATGAGGGGCCGGTGTACTGCGTCCCCCACGAAGGTGAGCAGGGAACAGTGCTTCCCCAGGGCTCCTCAGGGCTATCTCCAGGGGCCATCTCCTGCTCAGTGGAGAGCCAGCACCCTTGGGTGGTGGGGACTATTACCCTGGCTCCCCATCCCCTGAGAAGGGATGCAGGGAACAATGTTCCTTCCCATTTGGTTTCACAGCTCCCTCCTCTGGGGTCGCTTTAAGAGCTTTCTTGTGACTGGGAGGAGGGAGCTGGGGACAACACCAGGGTGTGGGACACCGAGGGGGATGCTGTCCCATCGTGCTGCAGGAGCATCTCAGACCTTCCCCTCCCCGGGCACAGCCCCTCCTGACGCTCCCCGTGCTCTCTTCCTGCAGAGAGTGTGGGTGACAGCAGGGACCGGGGGACACCCGCCAGCCCCGGGGACAAGTTGGCGGCCCCGGCCGGCGGGGAGGAAGCAGGTGAATACACCTTCCTGAAGGAGACGGGCTCGGTCCGAGCCTTCCCGGCCGACAGCAGCGAAACGCCCCTGCTCAAGTCCTCGGACAGCGAGCGCTCGTCCTGCGGCTCGGGCTCGGCCGGTGCCGCGCTCTATGCCCGGGTTGCCCGTCTCTCCAAGCAGTCCAAGGAGGAGGAGGATGGCACCGCAGAGCCACGCGGCCCCGGGAAGCCACCGTCCCCAGAACGGACCAAGCCCCGTCCCCCAGACCCAGCCACAAAGCCCAAAGTCTCCTGGATCCACGGCAGGTACAGCTCCAGCCAATCCAACTCGCTCCCGGTGTCCAGCCGGTCCCCAGAGCGAGCGGCTGCCCGGTCCGACAGCCCCGAGCAAGGACAGGGCTTGGACAAGAGGAAGAGGAGCCCGAGCGAGACATCGGCCGGCGTGCAGGGCAGGGCAGAGGAGAGGGGCAGCGCGCGGGGCAAGGAGAAAGCACAGAAGCAACCAAAGGAGCCTGGTGTCCCTGAGGGCAAAGCCAGCCTGCCCGGGGAGCCCCAGTCACCCTCCAAGCCCAAGCAGAGGAGCAAAGCCAGCTCAGAGCCCACAGAGAGCATCAATGGGGCTGTGCAGAACGCCTTCCGGAAGATGGGCGCCTTCCAGCCAGAGCGGCGGGCTGGGGACACCAGGGATGCTCCGCGCAGCCCCGGCGCTGGCAAACCCCGCTCCGAGCCCCTCCATCCCCAGCTGGCCTCCGAGCTGGCTGCCCAGCTGAAGGAAAAGACTCAGAGCCTCAGCAAGGGGGACGGAGGCGCCCGGGCAAACGGAGTGGGAGTGCAGCGGGAGAAGCCCACTCCTCCACAGAAAGCCAAGCGCTCAGCGGCCGCCAGCGGCCAGAAGACCAGCAAGCCCCTGCTGCCCACTTCTCCCCCCCTGCAGAAACTGATCCCCGGGGTGGCCGAGCCGGTGGCCGGGGAGCACAAATGGGTGGAGAAGCCGAGCACCGGCAGCAGCCAGGACCCGGCTCCCCCCGGCGAGCAGGCGGCCAAGAAAACCCCCATCAAAAAGCCCCCCCGGAAGAAGAGCCGAGAAGCCAGCCTGGAGCCGCCCAGAGCCGCTGCCGCGCCCGCTCAGGCCGTGCAGTGACCGGGAGCTGGGCACCAGCCCCCGCCAGCCGGCCCCGTGCCAGAGGAAGGACGTTTGCCAGCACGGCCGGTGGGCATGGGAGCCTGGGCTGGGCAGGGGGCACGGGAGCAGTCCTGAGCCTGCAATTCCCCTTCTCTCCATCTCTCTCATCCCCCTCTCTCCTTTAGTCTCCCCTGCTCCAGGACCTGGTCCTCCCCATCCATGCCCCGCTGCCTGCTCCCTGCCAGGACTGCAGGGAGTTGGCCTGGCCACCAGCCCCGGGGGGGTCCGTGCTTGGCATCCCCCCCTTTTTGTAGCAGTATTATTGATCGCATAAGCAGCGCTTGTACCCACAGTGTATTCTGCAGTAACGGAGACGCTCGCTTCCCACACCCCATGCTTGGGGTGCAGCCGGGTGCGGGGTCTCCGCACCCATCACTGGCACCGAGCCCCTGCCCTGGCACCCTGGGCTCCAGGCACGGCTCCATTGCTGGTGCTGCCGCAGCTGTGCCGTGCCCGGCGTGGGGTCGAGCTGGTTTCGACCGATGCCACCCTCCCCTCCAGCCCTGGGGTTGCTTCTGGACTGGAGGAGCGCCCTGGTTATGGCCAGACCCAATGTCCTTTGGGCTCTCCCTCCCACCCAGCGGCGTTGGAGGGTTCATTCGGTACGACAGAGCCTGGCATCTCTGCAGAGCGCTTCCCAATAAAAGTGTATTTCTTCCATAGCCAGGTGCTGTCTCTCTGTGCTCCAGCTGCCCCGAGGGCAGGGACGTGCTGGGCAGCACCCGGCCTCGCTGGGGTGCTCAGCCTGGTCCTGAGCCGGATGCAGTGGGAGATGGATGGACTCACAGCAGGTAGAGGCAGGGAGGCAGGGTCCTGCTGGGGCTGCAAAGACCAGCCCTAGGGCAGGATGAGGAGCCCCTCATCCCGCATATCCAGCATCCTCAATGTGTGCCAGCTCCATGTCCATGCTGGTTGTCCTCCTCCAGCCCTTCCAGCTTCTTATCCCTGTTGAACTGGGAGGCCCACACTGGACCCTACTGGGTGGAGCATCAGAAGCTTCTTTCAGGTGGCTGCCCATGACCTTCCCAGCGTCTCCCACTGCCAGCTTTGCCTTCCTCTGGAGAAGGGCAGCAACAAGCCGATGTCACCCTGAGGTCCACCATAGCCTCCAGGTACCTCCAGCAGGGTCCTTCCAGCTCAGGTGGGTCAGATGCTTCTTCATGTGCTTCCACAGGCCATGATGGATGTTGCCATCGCAAGGGATGAGGCATTGCCACTCCTCAGTATCATGAGGAGCTGGTTTGTCCACATAGTGTGGTTGTGATTCTCCTTTCCAAGCATCCTACTGGGGCCTGCAGGATGCACTTTACTCATCTCTGACTGGCAGCACCCTGAGATAGACACTGCTGAAGGAACTTTCTCGAGGGTTCCACAAATGAGCAGAGGCTGACAAACAGAACAGCTTCCTCTGCAGCTGCGTCCCACAGGACTTCCATTTGCTTTTCTAAGCTGCTTTGCTCTGCTCTCCTGGAGGTGCAGAAATCACTGGCCTCAAAGGAAAAACAGCAGAACCCAACCACAGGAGGAGGTCATCATGTGGAGCAAATCCAGGGCTTCTGCTCCCCTGGGATGGAGCAGGAGCCACCTTCCCTGACAGACAGGTCACACCTTTGGTGGCAGCGTGATGGCTTCACTAAATGCATTGCATGTGACCGGGGGAGCAGTGGCTGAGGCTGGCAGATGATGCTGTGATGGAGTAGGACCTGTCCCACAGCTACCAGCCCTCGTCTCCGCCAGCACCTCATCCAGGGGAGCAGAGGAGCACAGTAGCACTCATGGCCGATCCTCACCAGCACCGCGACACTGATCTGCTTCCCATTCCATCCCACTTTCCCAACCTGAAGAAGGAACCATTGGATTGGACAAGAGCACGTTTGCTTTGACTTGGCCGGCAAGCAGCGATAAAAGGGAGCCCAATGCCAACAATCCAGATCCTATTTCAGGCCCTACCAAAAATAAACTCGGAAGAGGAACTCCAATGGGAATGAAACATGGACAGGACAGCGGGCTCCCAACATTCTGTTGGGAATGTGCCTCCCATCAGTGCCAGGGGTATCTCATGCTGGAGGGGGTACTGTGAGGTGCTTAGGGAGCTCCATCGGCTCCACCAGCACCACACACCAGCTAGGGCTGGGGATATAAGTATACATTCGACTGATGTTTCACATGGCGTCTTCAAGTGGGTGTGTTATACATGAGGAAATGGCCCTTTTCTTCTTTGCCCCAAAAGTGGATGGAATGGTCCCTGATTGACTTCCCTAGGAGACTGGACTCCAGGAATGGCCAGTCCGGAAGCACTGGAATGTCTCCTCCTCTGCAGGGAGTGGAGACACCAGGAGCTCCTGGGCTGCTGAGCTACAACTAACATGAGTTCACCCTGGCTGAGCATCCCTGTCTCCTCCCAGGGGTTGGTGTGCAGTCAGGATGTGTGTGCAGCATTTCCTTGGGTCCCCATGGATGCTCAGCTGGACATCCAAAGCCCGGCCATGTTTGTAACATGTTTCTAATTATGCAAGCAGGTCAAACCCCACTTTTCCATGTCTGTAGCCTTTGCTCTACCAGCTCCATGAGCAGCCATCAGGAAGGGAGCGTGAAAATTTCACCTCGTACCACCGAGCCAGCGACCACCTCAATCCAGATCTTATTTTAGCTGCAGCTCAGGGGTGAAATTCCCGTTCAGATATTCAGCTCCAGAGGCCAGAGTGGGGAAAACACTTTTACTCTGCACTGTTTAAATTGGAATCAATCCGGTGAGCCTGAGGCTGTGAGGCTCCGGCGGCTCTGGCCACACGCTCACCCAGGGATGAGCTGCACGAGGCTGAGGCCAGACAAGAGGTTCAAGTGGCCCAAAAAAGGGGGAAGGAGGGTGGGGATGGGTGGCAAAGCCACTGTGGTGGGTGACCATGCACCCAGTGCCAAATGGAGTTGGAGGGCTGGTGCTGAAACCCCTTCCCCTGGCTCCCTCTGTGCTGCGGCAAGGAGCATCCTGCTCTCCTGATGACTCCTCATAGCACATGCATGAGGCCTCATCCTGCCTGGGGCTGCAGATTGTCCCCAGTGGGCGACCGGGCTGCACTTCAGCTCCTTGAGCTTCTTCCCTCAACTCAGAGCCCCGTGTCCACTCATGCATGTGTCATCAGAGTGCCCTGTCCTTCAGCTCCAGCTCCAGCTCCATCCACTGCAGCAAGTCCACCCTGCAATCACCACCAGCATCCCATCCCAACACCAAAGGCAGTATGTGCCCTATACAAACCGGAGCCAGCTGCCTCCTGCCATGCACACCAGCTCACATATCTGCCCCAGGTCCCCCATATCCCCATGCTCTGCAGGCTCCAGCCCACCAGCCTGCAGCAGGCAGCGCCTGAAGCCGGCCAGGGTAATGAGAAGCGCATGGGAACCACATCTGGTAGTGATTGAGCGGGAGCAGCGCTGGGAAGGGAGGAAGCACAGACTTCCTGCAGCACAAAGCAAGGGAGAGGAATGTCCGCAGTGGAGCAGGGGCCCCAGCAGCACCCTCCCTGCACCCCTCAGCCACAACATCTTCAACAGGGGCACAAAGGCACCGGATCGCACCTTTGGAGCTGTCGCTGGAACATGCTCCCTGCTCCATGGCTGAGCCCCTCGGCCTCCTCCCCGGCACCCCACAGCCGAGCCTCATGCATGGTCGCTCCTTTCCAGTCCTGTGCTTCTCAGGGTCGAGGTCAAGATGATGCTGCTGAGGGTCTGGGGTCAAGACAGCCCTCCCATGCCCAGACAGCACAAGGCTTCCACTGACCTTCGAAACAGCCTTGGAAAGAGAGCAGGAGCCTCAGAGAGTTGGTGAAGATGGCAAGATGAAGGCAGGGTCTGCTCTATACTGTGGTGATGGGGATGTGACACTGGGAGGGGAAAAGGCATAGACTCATTGAATCATAGAATCAACCAGACTGGAAAAGTTCTTTAAGATCATCAAGTGCCCCAGCACAAGCAGGGGAAAGGAAAAAAAGGAAAGGTATATCCAAGGATGTTTTAGGGATGCCCTGTTTGCCTGGGGATGCTCCACGTTCTCCCAACACAGCCATTTCTACTCCTCTCCAGCACGCTTTGAAGTCATATTAAACCTTCTGCTTCCAAAGCGTTTTTAGTACATTTTGGCGGATCTCTCATTGTGCTAATTCAAGCCAGGAACCTCTTGTGCACGCTGCTGAAATGAGTTTGTAACTCGGCCTGTGCTGAGCACTGATCTCATCACCTGCACCGAGCACTCACTGAAAGGAACCGTGGCCACCCCAGCAGCGCGATTGAAGTCAAAATGCACTTAATAAACTCCGAATGTTTAAGGGATTGGAAGGGATCCTGGAAGCTGGGGGGTGGGGGGCGGGGGTGTCTCACCCTTCCCAGGGCTCCCCAGTGAACCCACAAACATGGCCTGGCTTGGTGTCCATAGGGAATGGTCCCCAGCTCATGGGCTGGACTGAAACCATGAAGCCAAGATGTGAATGAATGAAGCAATGAGGCTGGAGAGTGGAATTCCTCTGATGTCAGTGATGCATACACAAGGGATGGGGTGAAGAGGAACCCCCAGGAGAGCACTGACCACAGCAGTGCTCAGAAACACCCCAGCCATTGGGCACCACCTACACATAGGGTCTGGGGGCAGGTGGGAGGTTGTGGCTTCTGCTCATGAAGATGATCATCATCATCATTGTCCCCCTGCACTGGGCACTGGTGAGGCCACACCTCAAATCCTGTGTTCAGCTCTAGGTCTGCAAGAGAGACATTGAGGCGCTGGAGCAGGGCCAGAGAAGGGCAGCGGAGCTGGTGCAGGGCCTGGAGCACAGAGGGGTGATGGGGAACGGCTGAGGGCCCTGGGGGGTTCAGATGAAGAGAAGGCTCAGGAGGGACCTGATGGCTCCCTACAAGTGCCTGACAGGAGGTTGGAGCCAGGAGGGGCTGGGCTCTGCTCCCAAGGAACAAGGGATGGGACAAGAGGAAACGGCCTCAAGCTGCCCCAGGGCAGGTTTAGATGGAGCTGAGGAACAATTCCTGCCCCAGAGGGTGCTCAGGCATTGGAACAGGCTGCCCAGGGCAGGGCTGCAGTCACCGTCCCTGCAAGTGTTCACACCCCGTGGAGATGAGGCCTCAGTGCCATGGGGCAGTGGTGGCCTTGGCACTGCTGGGGAGCCGATGGATGAGCTGAAAGCTCTTCCGCAACCCAGCCGATTCCACGGCTCCCCGCTGCAGCCGCTGCCGTCCCCGAAAGCGGCCCGAGCGGAGGGCACTAGGACCGCGCAGGGGGAAGGGGGCGTGGCCGGCAGAAGGAGGCGTGTCGGTACGGCGCAGGCGCGGTGCGGGGGGGCCATGTCGCGGTTCGGCGGCGGAGCCGGGGGCCTGGAGGCCGCGGAGGCGCGGGCGCGGTCCCGGCAGCAGGAGCGGCACTACCGGCTGCTGTCCGAGCTGCAGGCGCTCGTGAAGGCGCTGCCCAGGTGAGCGGGGCGGCGGGGCGGGGAGCGGCGGGGCGGGGAGCGGCGAGCGGCGGGGCGGCCGGTGCTGACCCGCGCCCGCAGCCCCTGCCAGCAGCGCCTCTCGTACACGACGCTGAGTGACCTGGCGCTGGCGCTGCTGGACGGGACCGTGTTCGAGATCGTCCAGGGGCTGCTGGAGATCCAGCACCTCACCGAGA